AAATATATATATATATATATATATAGCATTAGGAAGCAGAGGACAGCAGCCGGCGCCGGGGTGCGTCGTCCGCGGGCACCACTCCTCCTGCATCATCAAGCCCGTCGTATTAAATATATGTATGTATTTTTGTCGATGTGAGTGTGCCGAAGCACGCTGCGAACAGCCCCCCCCCAATCCAGTCTTGCATTTATTTCACCCCTGCCCTATGTGGCAGGGAGCGTCTGCCCGGGTAGTGGGGTTTACCCCGAGGCCCGCTCCGTGCCCCCGTAAGGGAGTACGACGACCCCCGAAGAAGAAGATACTACCGTTCCATTGTTATAAGCGCCTGTCGCCGTGGCACAGAAATGTTTTTTTTGTGAGCCCTGAATGGGGTGAGGCTCGACATATGCTCCTATGTTTTTTAAGACAAGGTTGTAGAAGTTTAATTTTCATAGACTTTCAATTCCTAAATGAAATCAACATTGGTGCAACAGTGTTTGCATGAAATGAATCAACGAGGAAACAAATAGACACAAAACGTACCAAAACGCTGCTGTTGAAGCTTAATACGTTGAACGCCATCATGGACACTGTTTTTCCGACAGAATACTGTCGCCCAGGGCCGCACCAATATATAAAACATAATTCAAAAATCGGCGTGTTTTTTTTTTTGCCAAAATTGGGGAACAACAGACCTATGAAGATGTCCAAACCTTTTCCTAGCGCGGCGGACACGCTATGACCGTTGCGGCTCATTAGCTTAACAAAGCATTTGGTCTTGCGCTCAATCTGTCAATAATCTGTATATTAATACGTGAAGCAAAAACTTTGTACCCATTTTTACGAAAATTGCGCGGACGGAGCAGTGTAAAATTTCCCACACTTATAGATAATCTAGAGAAGGAGTGTAGAATGCTAATGTTTTTTTAAAATGATGCATAAAAAATATATTAAATCAATAAAAAAAACATTACACACACTACCATGTATTTGACACAACACATACATAAAAATATACTCTTTGCTCATTGTCAATTGTCAAACTTTTGTTATTATTTAAAGTCTGTGGTCAAATTGAGAATAGATTAATAAATAATATTTATCTATAGTGTAGTCTTGGCGAAATCTGTGGTTATATAATTACCTATATTATAGAAGAATAATAGTGTTTGATAATAGAACCACAATAGGTAATGTTTAAACGTAAAATTTCAATTAATTATAGTCGAATTTCAACAACTGCGGGACTACTAGTAGTATGAAATATAGTATGAAGATTTTGCTAATTAAGTCAATAAATTTATTCAGGGACAACAGCGCTCCCACAGCGCCGACGGTGCTTCTCAAAAGAACCAAACACCACAAGGGGAGTATTTACTGCCTCGCATGGAGTCCCGCTGGTGATCTACTAGCCACAGGCTCTAATGATAAAACCGTAAAATTAATGGCGTTCAACACGCACGCTTGCAATTTGGAAGGACAAGAGGTATGTTATTTCTAACATAATGATTCTCTAATTTATTATCTTGAGTTTGCTGACTGCATCTGTAACATGTTGTATTTTCCTTTTCAACAATCTGCTACGCACGACCTGTTTAGTTGCGAAGTAATTAGTGGAAGATGCCGTTCTTGACATGCTAATTAAATAATTGCGAACATGTCTCGCACTGAATCATAAGTTCTCTCTTAATGACGTTAAGGGCGACGGATGTTTATATTGAATTTAATTGAAAGATAATACAAACATGATTTATTTATTCAGAACAATTCTGTTATATGGAAATATTATGTTTTATACCCCAACGAAGAAGTAAAGAAGGAAAACGTCATATTTTCTACCATCCACTTCTACCGCTTAATTCGTACTCCCAATTTGATATTCCACAACGTGCTTTTTTTTTATTGCTTAGATGGGTGGACGAGCTCACAGCCCACCTGGTGTTAAGTGGTTACTGGAACCCATAGACATCCACAACGTAAATGCGCCACCCACCTTGAGATACAAGTTCTAAGGTCTCAAGTATAGTTACAGAGATCATTACCGCCACGAACCATCAAACTAATTAATCTGAACTCAACATTAAAACCACTAACGTTCTACTTCTGTCGTGAAATGTACAAATTTCGACAGTTAAAAAAAAGTCGGTTCCTATCGCGTAAATGAGTTTTCGAGCATATGTAGGTACCTACTAGGGATGTGCGCGGGCAATTCATAATTATCGTCTTCAATAATACCACCGCTCGTCCACCCAACAAATATATTCATAAATATCGCATTGACTGTAACGACGTGGTCACAACTTAAATGATATACCCAGCGTGTCCAATCAGAAGCGAACGATTTATTTAATGGAGATCAATCGCCATAGTTAAAAGCGATAAATCGATTCACGTACAGACCGAAATAATTGTAAATACATGATTCTGTTTATGTCGTAACGTGCGAATCGGAGTGCGTCACTAAAATGATGATAACATAATTTGCACTAGATGATGACCGGTCCGGATGATGATGGTTTTTTTTATAACGCCATCATGTTGTGTCTTTAAAGCGGTTAGTTGCCCTCAATTAAGAAAAATAGTTTTATTATTCGCCAATAGATGTCGGGAAGAGTTGATTATTGAAAACACAAATAAAACAACATTTTCTGAAAATAAATCGTAGCTAGATCGATTTATCGCCCCCGAAATCCCCTGTATACTAAATTTTATGAAAATCGTTGGAGCCGTTTCCGAGATTCATATTATATATGTATTAATATACAATAATTGCTCGTTTAAAGGTATAAGATGAAACATACTATGCACAGTGAAGTGAAACATTCCATAAATATCCGCATTTCACGAACTATGTCACGTTCTATCACTTGTGCCTTCGACTGTACCAGACTCGTTCAATCAGTTTTAATTAAAAACGTACCTTGATGCAGTCGAGTTAATCATCACGTGTTGACGTCACGAATGCGGCGTGAATATCGAGCAAACGTCATTCGAACGATAATCAATTTTGGTGTTGTCACCGATTAATACAATTTTATCAGATGAAATGGTTAACGGCAAACGTTCCATTTTTTATTAAATCTCACAACGACTTTGTAATTAAATATAGTTTAAAACAAAACTAATAAAATATATTTAATGTTATAAAAACAAACTAATAAATGTGTGTGGTTGAAAGTTAAAAAAAAACGCTTCAAAAGAAAACTGAAATTCCAATTTATTTCAGGTTTTATTTTATCCTATTGATTCTAGTTAGAATATTAGAGCGAAATTAAAAATATGTAGTATGGTTATGGTTCGTTTATGCATATGCAAATTTTTTTTGTTCGTTGTCTTTGTTGAAAATGACTTCAAAGATTCCTTTACATACAAATTAACATACCAAGCCAATAAACGCACATTAGGTCAAAATAAAAATTTTCATCAGTCCTTGATATGTGGGCTAATTTGCGAGTTAATCGGACATATTTAGTTTAAAAATATGTTGACTAATTTTGTTACATAGATAAACAAAAATATATATTAAGCTAAAAAGGATTTTAAAAACATTGGTACTAAAATTGGACAAATAAAAAGACCACAAAAACGTATCCAGTGTAAATTAACTTTTGTCACGTCATGTTGCAAGGAATCAGCTTATTCTCTATTTTGTGACGTCACGAGATAATGAACCAAACTTATAAAGCTTTTCGGTCTAGTCAGCATTACGTATATAACTTCTTGGAAAAACATTTTAGTTAATCTGATAATTTTATCAGTTCTGAAAATTGCTGGTAAAAATAAAAGGATAGTTCAATTATATTGTCATTGTCGTTAAAGGTACAACTATATATCATAATGTCTTTTTGTATATTGCTTTGCGTAAAAATGGTTCTATATATAACATTTTCCAATTTTTAAAATAGATAATCCCAATTCAACGCTAGGTTACATTGATTTTTATAATGTACATAATTATGTATACAAAACATTAATAATAGTCTTGAAGTATTGTTTGTAACTAGATTAAGGACACACATATGTTTTAGAACGGTAGGAAATTGTTTGGGTCTGAGTTACTGAATTTCGTAATTATGGATTTGTATTTTGACAACTGACGGTTTAGATAATGTTAAATGTTTCTAAACGCGAATGAACGAACCTATAAATACAAAATTACAAGTTGCAATTACATATTGCTTTAGTGCAATAGATAATCGCATCGATTAGTACCGACTGCGTGTCCCTTAGCGGCAGAAATAGGCAAGTTGGTGGTACGTTTCAATGTAGTGCAATGTTCCGTGTAAGCTGCAATCACGTACTCGTATCTTTTAAAAAATCATTAGAAATATTTGACCCGTACTACTACTACCGCACTACCCGAACTACTTGGATGCTAATAGTAAGAAATATACAATACTAGTCGTCGTGGCCTAACGGATAAGACGTCCGGTGCATTCGTGTTGAAGCGATGCACCGGTGTTCGAATTCCGCAGGCGGGTACCAATTTTTCTAATGAAATACGTACTCAACAAATGTTCACGATTGACTTCCACGGTGAAGGAATAACATCGTGTAATAAAAATGAAACCCGCAAAATTATAATTTGCGTAATTACTGGTGGTAGGACCTCTTGTGAGTCCGCGCGGGTGGGTACCACCACCCTGCCTATTTCTGCCGTAAAAAAGCAGTAATGCGTTTCGGTTTGAAGGGTGGGGCAGCCGTTGTAACTATACTTGAGACCTTAGAGCTTGTATCTCAAGGTGGGTGGCGCATTTACGTTTTGGATGTCTATGGGCTCCGGTAACCACTTAACACCAGGTGGGCTGTGAGCTCGTCCACCAATCTAAGCAATAAAAAAAAAAAAAAAAGCTGGCCCGGCAAACGTTGTTTTGCCATATCAATTATTTATAGGAAAGATAAATAACCTAGGAACGAATTCTCGAATCCACCTGAAGGTATACAGAAAATTTCATTAAGGCCTTTAGGAGAAGTTCAGTGACAAATACACGCACAGAAGAAATATTAAATTAAACTAAGATAGATTCATTTCAGAATTCATCCAATAGTTTCAGAGATTATCTCTTAAAAAGATATATCTATACTAATATATAAATCTACAGTGATTTTTACGGATATTCCGTTATAAGTACTGAGCCATGCATCCGATTGACTTGAAACTTTGTATCCATGTAGAAAATACACGTACTTAATGGATAGGTTAATATTTATGTGACTGTTGGACTCCCTAATAATAATGACAATAAATAATAATGTTAATTTTAAATGCCCAGCGAAGCGGGCGAGTACGGCTATTTGTATATAAAATATTCAACTTCTGACATAAGTATAGTAGATAAATTTATATCTCGCAATATATCGTAAAGTTTATCGCGCGTAATGCATCCTGGATACCGAATAGCGTGCGATTAACGTTAACGGGTAACATGTATCTATTGCAGAAATTTTGAATTTTATTTTAATATTCATGCATCGATATCGTTAGGTGGAATTGACGGTACACGACGGTACTGTCCGCGACGTGTGCTTCATCGAGGACACGACAAACAAGACCAGTCTGCTGGTGAGCGGCGGAGCCGGCGACTGCAAGATATACGTCACCGATTGCATCATAGGGAAGACCTTCCAGGTATGTTAATTAATTAAATTAAATTAATCGATTAATAACGGGCTTAAATAATTTAGAACAAATATTTTGAGCTAAAAACGTCATTTTTATTTTAAATCGAATGCGACGAAGTAGTCGTCGTGGCCTAAAGGCTAAGACGTCCGGTGTATTCGTGTTGAGCGATGCAACGATGTTCGAATCCTGCAGTCGGATACCAATTTTTCTAATGAAATACGCACTTAACAAATGTTTCACGATTGACTTCCACCGTGAAGGAATAACATCGTGTAATAAAATTCGGATTCGAAAAATTATAATTTGCGTAATTATTGGTGGTAGGACCTCTTGTGATCCCGCAGGAGTACGTACCACCGCCCTGCCTATTTCTGCCGGGAAGCAGTAATGCGTTTCGGCTTGAAGGGTGGGGCGGTCGTTGTTACTATACTGAGATCTTAGAACTCGTATCTCAAGGTGGGTTTGCAGCATTTACTCTGTAGATATCTATGGGCTCCGGTAACCACTTAACAACAGGTGGGCTGTGAGCTCGTCCACCCATCTATGCAATAAAAAAATAATAAATAGAGAATTGTACTCTCAACACATAGTCCGCGATACCATCCACGCAGTCGAGGATATAGGCAGGACTGGCCCAGGATAATCCAGGAGAATGTTATTAGTGGATGCCACGACCTTCACCGTTGACTATAGCGATGAGTAATATGCTTGTGGATACAATCGTGCATTTCTGATTGAATAGTACAGTCTTTTTTTTGACATCGTTTCTCAAGATGGCTGTCGGGATTCCCCGTAGTAATGCCGTTTATAGGTCCGGATGACCACTCAACACCAGATAGTTCGTGTATTCGTCAGTCTATTTAGAGCAGAACTTAAATTGGATAAGACTTAATTGTCGTAGCCGATAACTCAAGGCGAATAGAGTTCGCGCAGAACTCCCGAACCCGTCTCGATCCCGAATAATGGGCAAGGGATGGGACAAAGACGAAGTCTTAGCTGGCCTGATCAATTTAAAGTTTTCTACTTGAATTTGTTGGTAAAGAGTTTTTTTTTTGTTTTTGATCATCTGTCATATCAAGAGTCAAGTAATATGAAGTTCAAAGATTGTGAATTAAAAAAAAAAACGCGCAAAATCGATAAATAGAACCCCTTAGTTATTAAAGGAGTAACAGTAAAATAAATATTATCTACGATCAAAAATGTTTGCAATGCAAATCAACATTTCGCCGACTAATTAATAACATGAATTTGTATTCTAAGCTATTTAGATTAGCTGAATGAGCTGAACTCGTTAAACTGCGGTCTCATTATTTACACGAGAGGTATTTGTGAGATAATACACATATGTTTTTAACTTGGAAATTTATTTATTGATAATATTATCAATTGATAATTATTTATTAGTATTCGTTTGTGAATGGCTCGAACTGATAATTTTTATTGCTTTGGAAAGCGAATGAGCAAATAAACTACCTGATAGTGACTGATCGTGATCATCGTTGCTCATGGTTCATTGACTCAGCCTGGTGGTAAGGAATATTTAGTACTTAAAAATGACGTGTAGCCAGCGTTCAGAAAACACTGCGCAGAGGTTTATTCGGATTATTATTGTTATACCTAAGTCATCTTTGGCCAATAGCGGTACTGATATATCATACAGACAATACTATAAAAATTAAAATATTTAGTATCGCATTAAATTAAAGCCAATACTAGAAATCGTAAAACACGAACGTTCTGGAAGGTTCGACGGCGTCACAGTGGGTATGGTTGGAGGTATATACACGCCCGAACGAACGCGGCGCGAATGATATCTTGTTACCTAATATAAGATTTTGATTTCGGAGAATGTAATAACCGTGCCTTTGCATATATATTTCTTATCAAATTACAGTTTTTATTTTGTCTTTTAAACCCCTGCTTGTTACATTACAATTGACATTAAAACTTATAAACCTTGTAACCTAGGAAGTTTTTCACCATTGTCTGTGACATTGGCAAGTGTTAACACATGTTATAGAACAGCCGACGACCTCTTTGCAACATTTTCATCTAGTTTAATATATTCCTCTGATCTTCCTTCTTTTCTTGTGTCAGTAAATAATCCTGGGATACAAGTCACCGCTGCCAAAGCATTATAAGGGGAGCTGTGATATTTTAAAAGGAGAAACAAGTAAAACCTTTTTTTAAAACATCTGTAAATCCATTTGCGAATACGGTTCCCAGGACGAAATCCATTTGATTCGTTTCCGTTCTGCTGTGGGGGAAATTATTTGATTTCTTCAATGAAATATTGAACGGCGCAGACAAATTATGCACTCGGTTTAAAAAATGAAATCGTGTTTCTCGCAACGTGAGCTAACGATAATGTATTAATATACAATATTTATGTGGATTTATTTCGAATGAAAGACTGCAACCGAATTAATACCGTACTAATTTCGTGACATTAAACACGGCTATCGATTTTATGAGCTAATCGCTTTACAAACTGTTTTATCTACACTTACCTCGAGAATATAAAATTAGTTAAAAATGAAGTTCCAAACGAATGCAATTTTATGTGAAACCAAGTTACAGTAGTTCGATTGCCTTAATTATAACAGGTTACAAATTACTGATATATTCTAACTCTAACTGAATCAGTAGCGCAGTACATCAGGCATACGTTTGTGTGAAGAATAGGTTTGTTTGCTTGTGGTCTGTGAGTGAGTGTTTAATATCCACATTTACCTTTTACCGTATATACATAAGTATGTGTATCAGTCTCTCGTTCCCATAGTACCGGGAATCCTAGTTTGGGCCCCGGTAACCACCTGTGATTTGTGCCTGACTGTTTATTTATTAACTCTGCAATTTTTCATACCAGTGTATTAGCTTCATTGTTTCTCTTGCCCATACCAAAATTTCTAACTCCCAACTGTGCGACAACTGTGAGCAATGTATGTACATGCTATTAATAAACCATCTAAATACTTGGAACTTGCAATTTGAAAACGCATGTAGTGTGCACGGATTTTTCCTACCTATTGTTAGTAACTAGGGGTGTGCGAATATCGTTCAAATCGAATAACTCGAAAAATTTCGAATAATTCGTAAAAATGTCGAATAATTCGAAAGTTTTCGACTAATTCGCGAATTAATGAAATATCTCTGGATTTTCAATTGTTTCCATTTAAATTCCTTTAAATCGTGTGTCAAAATATTCTACTTACGAATAATATATTTTTCGTTTAAAAATCAATTACCCGGAGAGAACAATTGCTCATTTTCAATATATGTTCATCTCTGTCGATAACACGCAAAATGTAGATGGTAATATTGGCAAGAGATATATTTTCTATTTGTTGTGGTCCTATTAATGATTAAATTTTCTTTGAAAAAATCTGTAAGAAGGTTACTCATGTAATGTTTTAATATTTTATCAAAGTTTTTTGTACATATCCTCATTTTTTTTATTCATAAAAAAAAATACTCATTTAGTCATTTTCTTTTACTATATTTCTAGAATATGCAATTTATTATGCAACACAGCAGTCGAAACAACGACAGATAACATAAACCCGCATTTGAACTTATTTGAATTGAACTTACCATTAGTAGGGGTGTGCGAATAATTCGAACTTTCGAATTATTCGATTCCAGTTTCGTTCGAATATTCGATTCGTAAGTTCGAATTATTCGCACACCCCTATCAGTAACCTCGAGGGTTGTGTTAGCTTCACCGGAGGTGTAGGTAAGCTCACGAGGCCTGGCGATTTTGCTAACACTAGCCTTAGCAAGAGCAGTGCTTTGCTGTATCTACCACCGAATCGGAATCGCGATCCGCTGGGAAGGTCCGGGGAGATGCGCAGTGGGCTGAGTCTATGAGTTAGTTTTCACGACGAACCCTTCACAGCATTCGACGGGTTCGACGAGAACGGTGCTTGGAATCTCTATAAGCACTGATAGCAGATTGTGGGAGAATCCAAAATGACATGTTAGGGGCGACGGTGACTGCTTACCGTTTGGTCGTCTGGCTCGGGTATGTAGTTTCCGGCAACCACGGCTACTTATCGGCTCTAGTTTTAGGTCGTCGTGAGGAACTACATTCCTTACGTATCACGGTGCTCCGACGGCTATCCTGCAAAATGGGATTGAATGACCTGTAGGGTGCTTATGTGTGCGGTGCGCGTGAGCGAACACTACACATGCACATGTCATGACCGAACGTATGGAAATTTTGTAGAGAGTCACCTTATTTCGAAGGGACGATTTATTTACAAATTATCGGATATAGTTGTTTTAGTAGGAACGCGGTTTCTTGTGTTTTTGTTCGCGGAAGACGCGCTTGCGTTCAGGGTTGAGGTGGAGGGTCGCCTTTATACAATATAGCTTAGACTTCGACTTTAATGGCATTCACGTGGTGTGTGAGTTCCGATAATCACTTAACACCAGGAGGTGGAACATGACTTGTTAACGAATAAAAACAATGTGTTGACATTACGATTTTGCCACTGAATACAAAAAATATCCAAGACGATTCTTGTATAAGATCTTACGTTTATTGTATTATAACATAAATGTATTTTCGTAGGAATATAGCCGTATAGTATTTGTTTAGGTTAAATAAAGACAATGGGTCTCACTTTCTGAATTATCAGATGTTTTTCTTGTCCATTTGCCGTTGCTTTGTCGGCTACGAAAAACCTGACCGTAATCCGTGTAACTGATGTTTTGAGGTCACAGTTGAATAGACTCAAGAAGGTACAATGATCGTAATAAATACTCGTCCGAAAAACAAGTAATGTACTCGTAGATTTTATAGAAATAATACATGCTTTCATCTACGCGCTCAGGATATTCGCACAGATTGCATCCATTCCATTTCTAATATTGAGTTTTGAGGGGCGCGCGTATTTCGGAATTTGCAGTCGGTATGTAATCACGGGTAGTGTGCGTCATGATCCGGTGGTTTGCTTTAACCGATTTTCGTATCGGCATGTGTATGAGATGCCAACTTTGCACACATATAGGTACACATATCTCTAGAAAAATAAACGGTGTCATTTTGTAGGCGAACAAAAATAAAGCGATATTATCAACATGATGTTCTTATTTAAAATGTAATTTAAATGCTTACGTAATCAATGCGACAGTTTCCATTAAATTATTGCTTTTAAAATGACGAATCATCTTTCTTGTTCCTGTCTGCCTTTTTAGGTGGCATGTATATAAATGTGATATGTATTGATGATTACAACAACAACAACAATAATAATAATAATAATAACTGGCAACAAATCAGACACGGTCATCCGCCCCCAAATTAGTATGCCCTGTGTTATGGGTACCAGAAACTGATTTACATACTTATGTACGGTTACATATACATATATTGGCAATAAACACCTAGACAAAGAGCAAACCTATTCATCACACGAATGTTTGACCGATTTGGGTATCGAACCCACGACCCTTGACGCAACAGTCGCCGCTGACTACTGCACCCCTGAGTCGGTGACACTATTACACTAAACTAAACATTATATTTAATTCATTGTAATACCACTTTAATCTTTTGCTGTCTCAGTGGCAAAACATTCAATTCACTTGAGAGTAACCTTCATATAAGTCGAATTGGAAACGAATAGATTTATTTCCCGCACTCTCGATTGATCTATAAGAATTTTAATCATATTTTTAGTACGCGTCTTACGCTGTCGTACGAGAAATGACGAGATCAAATAGTTTTCAAAGCTCGTACAAGCATAGATGGGGCGGTACGTATATAAATTAGCCAATCTCACGAGCTCACGTGACCTTATTCAAAGTCTCACTCTGATAATATATAAGAGCGAAGTAATGTAAATGTAAATGTGTCAAGAGATTTGTGTATTTTAAAATAAATAAATAAAAACTATTCTAACTATTCGTATCATCACAGTACAATATAACAGCTTTAGTCTTAGATTATCTTAATTTCGTAGGAATGCGGTGGTAGGACCTCTTGGGAGTCCGCACGGGTAGGTACCACCACCCTGCCTATTTTCGCCGTGAAGCAGTAATGCGTTTCGGTTCGAAGGGTGGGGTAGCCGTTGTAACTATACTGAGATCTTAGAACTTATATCTCGAGGTGGGTGGCGCATTTACGTTGTAGATGTCTATGGGCTCCAGTAACCACTTAACACTAGGTGGGCTGTGCTAGGATGGACGAGCCCACTAGGTGGGCTCGTCCATCCATCTAAGCAATAAAAAAAAATTGCAGTAGGTATGAATCTCCATTGGAAACTCGCGCGATATAAGGTACCTTGTATAGGCATTCCATACCTCATCGGCAACGAACGTCGAGCGAGATCTGTTTGTGACGTCTGACTCAATTATCATGCACTTTACCGATGCGCAACCACTCTCGTTTCCGCGCTGCTTTTTTTAGTAGTAGTGATTCACAATAAATAACGAACAGCTTACAATGCAACTGCTACTAGTAAATAAAACATAGAAAGATGCTCGTTTGACGTCGCCATTGTCGATACTTGTGTTTTTAGTGCGAGTTTTTAACGTTTTCGATAACGTAATAGTTAACTTATATTTGTATGCAGTTAAAACAGCGCCCCTAGCGGCAAACCTAGTTAAATGTTCCAAATCCATACTTTTTTTATTGCCCTTGTAGGCAGACGAGCATACGGCGCACCTGATGGTGAGTGGTTACCGTCGCCCATGGACTTCAGCAATTTCAGGGGCAGAGCTAAGCCGCTGCTTACCGCTTAATACTCTCCACAAGTCTCGTTTGAAGAAGGACATGTCATAGCGCTCGGGAAACACCGTGGAGGGGAGCTCATTCCATAGCCGGATGGTACGTGGCAAAAAAGACCTCTGGAAACGCACTGTGGATGACCGCAGTGGTTCCAGGTAGTATGGATGAACTCTACTCCGGTGAGGGCGGTGCGATGGTAAAAATTTGAGTTAACGTTTACGCTATCGAGAAAGTTAAAAAACTCATACTAAGCACACTGAACTATAACACAACTCGGGTTTTATGTATGTATGTGTGTTAAGTGTTTCTTCTATATTGTAGTTATTTTTGTAATTTAAATGTGATGGACATTTCGAAAATAAGGAAATACGAACACGAATGATTATTGAAAGTGTTGTAAAATCTACTTTACGTGTTATTTATTCTTTTGTTCTACTTTTGAAATGTTTTTTTTTATTATTCCATGAACTTCTACATTTATTGATTCTTTAAAACAACGTACAATAAGTGTCATTATATTACGTATTCAGTAGTCGTCGTTTGTGGATCACAATCGCGCGATTATAATGCAGTATGTGTCCTCTAAACTAGCCTTATGTAATCTCAACAACACTTTCGTTCTTTCTTAAGGCGATTCATTAAGCAATTCAATATTAATAAAGTTGAAAGAAACGGGCAAATATTGTCTCATATCAGGTTTTATTTTTTAAAACCTTTAAATTTATTTTATTTGAAACTAGACTGTATGTTAATACTTTAAGTTTTGAATGCAGAACCCGCATTTCACACGTCTATGTACTCCAAGCTTTAACGCGTCAGTGACGGTTTTTCTGTGTACAAAACTGTTCTTGCGAGGTTTATACTAGAAAGAAAAAAAAAATAAGGCACACCGTTAAATATGTAAGCGAATGACAAAGTTACACTGCGGTGTAATCCCGCGTGAACCTTCTCTAATATCTGTACGGTCAGCAAATCAAAGGCAAACTTTTCGTTTACTGATTTTCATTTTTTTTGTTTTTTTTTTTTTTTTCACAGGCGCTAAGCGGCCATTCGGGTCACGTTTTATCGCTGTATAACTGGGGTGGTGCAATGTTCGTGTCTGGCAGTCAGGATAAGACAGTGCGTTTCTGGGATCTCCGCACCGGGGGTTGTGTCAACATAATATCCCCACCAGCGGGTCAGCCTAGTAAGGTAATGTGTTACTGCTTTAAATTTTTAAGTGTAAAATGCGCTTAAGTGTCAGAAATTGGTGTATGTTGGTAATCCAATAATTTTTCTATAAATTCAAATAGATTTGAAATTAAACAGTAAATTTTGAAATGCTTAAATCCTCCAAATCCATATCCATCCTTTAAATCCATACCTAATAATATCGTTTTTTTTCTTATTGTTTAGCGAATGTGTTCACGTTTAGTAGTGGCCGCAATTATTAGGCACTCACGCCAATTCCGAAAAAAACGTAAAAGTAAAAATCCTTTGTTTTCATTTAAAACTTAATAGTAAAGAACCTTTACCTGAAGAATAGAGCTCCATTTACCCGTAGTATTCCATGACACATTTAGATAACTGACACATAGCGTATTAGCGTTTGGCCAAAGTGTAAATTAAACGGGCTTCGATTTAAAAAAATAATCGTCTTGTGAATAAGAGTTGCAGGAGTTATTATTGAGAGAAAAAAAAACAATTAAAATGGCTACCTAAAAGTAATGTAAAAACACTTGTCATTGTAGTAAAAGTAAAACAAGGCATTTTATTTTATATGAACACAGATGTCCCAGTAGTCAGTAGCGCTTTTACGCCTATTCGTTTATGTTCGAATAAGCCTTGTGGAGTTTTATCTACTAGAGTTGACATTGAAATGAAATAAAAAAATTGAAGATTAACTTCGTTTAACTTAATTTCGGTTTTTGACTTCAACATCCTTCTCAATAATCTATTTTTACAGTATCCAATTGTTTAATTCGCTATCTGTAAACTTCACTAGCTGAAAGTAAAATAATAATTGTCTCTGTGTTTACGCTATCTGCAATGGATTCATCGGATTAATATTATTGAACGTAATTGAGAGCGCATCGATATAGTCCCGTCCCTTTCCTCTCTTATATAAATGTCATTATAAAGTCGAGTTTGAATCGTGCGCATCAAAATTGTGCGATCGCGAAAAATAGTAGTGAATATTGAGTGCAGCTAATTAATTACTTAAACAACTGAAAGTGTTCATCACGATAAAAAAAGGAAGACAGGACACAGACCTACGGTGAGTTCCTAACAAATTACCAAGTATCATATCGATTGCGCTCTAAATCTATAAACTAAAGAACCAAGCCCAAACAATCTGATTTTTATTTTGTGGAACTAGCGATGATCTATGATCGTACGAGCGAGTTATTTTCCTGTGGTTAATTTATCGCTAAAACAATCTAGAATTCTTAATTGAAGCACTTCTGTCTTCGATCTCATATCTCAAAGTCGAATCGGGAACTTGAACTTCGATATCAGCAGCGATTATGTTTTGCGGGTACTTTAAAATAAACGGTGCGCGTGCAACTTTGTGCACGTGAATGAAGTGAAACTTCTTATTCAATGTGTAGTATTGTGGTTTTCGTTATTTTTCATCTTTAAATGAGATTGTTCCTGTAATTAGCGAATGCTGAATGAATATATAAAGACTCATTAAATACTGCATTAAAATATTGGACGCTACCCGTTGCTAACGCTCGCGCATGTGTTTGATTGCCATGCATTCACTCATGCTCTGTCTCTTTCTAGTATGGTAGCGTTAAACTTTTAACGCAACCTTGTTGAAAATAGCATTAGAAGTTTCACTTCAAAAAAAAATACGATTCTAAGGGTTATTTTATTTTCGTGTATAGGGTTCAGCGGTCGCGTCACTCGCGGTCGACCCGAGCGGGCGGCTGCTGGTGTGCGGACACGATGACGGAACTTGCGCGCTACACGACGTACGGGGTTCGAGGGCCCTGCAGCGTTTCACGCCGCACTCGAGCGACGTCCGTAGCGTTCGTTTCTCTCCCGGCGCGTACTATCTGCTGACTGCCGGCTACGACGGCAGGGTCGTGCTTGCCGATTTGCAAGGTAACAATCTATATCTATATATATATATATATTAATTAGAAGTTGTCGTGGCCTAATGAATAAGACTCCCGGTGCATTCGTGTTGAGCGATGTACCGGTGTTTGAATCTCAGGCGGGTACCAATTTTTCTAATGAAATACGTACTCAACAAATGCTCACGATTGACTTCCACGGTGAAGGAAAAACATCGTGTAGTAAAAACCAAACTCGCAACATTATGATTTGCGTAATTACTGGTGGTAGGACTTCTTTTGAGTCCGCACGAGTAGGTACCAACACTCTGCCTATTTCTGCCGTGAAGCAGTAACGTGTTTCGGTTTGAAGAGTAAGGCAGACGTTATAACTGATTCACGGCAGAAATAAATGGGGTGGTGGCACCTACCCGCGCGGACTCACAAGAGGTCCTATCACCACTAAACTATGTAATCATGTAATTAATAATTATGTTATTATTATGTAATTTATTTGAGAAATATGTAAATGTACTTGTTTGAATGTTGATGGATCGTTTTGTATCGCAGGCGATTTGACTTGTCCGTTGCCAAGCGTGCCCGTCGCTCGACATCCGGACAAAGTGATCTCGGCCCGATGGCATCCCGACGACTTCTCGTTTCTATCGACCTCGGCCGACAAGACGGCCGTGCTGTGGACCATACCGCCGGTCTAATAACGATACGATTATTAACATCGGAGCTGACACTACGGGTTTCTCGAATCGTAGCGAGAGTATTGTGTGCGTTCATTTTCCCGAAAACGTATCGTACGATCGCCCACTCATATTACGATAGACGATAAACATGACTTCGATCCGATATTCTCGTTTGTAAACATTCGTGAAACTCGGCTTGTGTAAAACAGCCATTTTAGGATCTTATAAAGAATAATAAAGAAGTTGCTTGTAAAACAATGAAAATTAGTTAATCTCGAAAGCAAAGGTGCCGTTGGTTGATAATTTGATATAAGCAATCATTACAAAAAAAAGTGGCTTTAAAAAAATTTCTATTTCGTGTTAAATTTGATTGGTATAAAGTTTATCGATGTTTACGAAAACGCTTTAAAATCTTACTTTCTTCTTTTTTTTTCATCATCCTTTAGTAGTCGTATGTATTTTCATTTATACTTCCTTCCAAATCGACGTTTTTTCCATTACACTAAATAAAGGTTTCTAGATTATCTGATTGGAAAATTGGTGATGTATCGTAATAATATGAGGTGAATTTTCGAAAAATGACGATGAATGTAGGTACATTAAATAATCGTGTGCAGTTTGCTTGTCGATTTAATTTGTGTCGTGCCTCGAATGATGCGGTCATGAATCTTTGTTTACGAATAGTTCGATGCTTTAGGCTGCATCGAATTTCATACGATTACGTTGCTAAAGTCGTTGATCAAAGAATATTCTATTCAACGGGAAATATTGACTAAAGCCCGGCTCTCACAGAGTTTTGTTTGCTTACTTAAAAGCCCCATTATTTTCCGGCAAATAAAAAAAAAATATTCCAAAAATAATCATCATAGTCTTATAACGTTAGCTCGCACCAAACACAACTGCACTTATCACCGTCTTACACTATTTTCGCATGAATTAAGATATTTAAATTCTTCAGAGCAACTAATAATATTATTTCGAATAAACGGATCCAGACTTTTAAAACAAAAAAAAAATCTATTCATATTCATTCCACTACATAAGAAAACGCATTTTAGCTTAACAGTTAATAAAGCGCCCTTAAAAGTTTTTAAACGAACGAACCACGATTAAAGTTTTTTCATAAAGAAAATTGCACTTTGCAATTCAATTTGTTTCATAAGGAGCCGTAATATTCCAGTTTGTAAAATCTACTTTCAAGACTAATGCGAGTTCATTAACTACTCGTCTGCAGATGAAAGAAGATTCTCGGAGGGCTAAGCTGTATTCACTTTGAGGGTCAAAACTTAAAAAAAAAGCTTTAAATCTTTTCTATCTCGTCTATTTACATATGTGGACTGTTAAAGTGATGATTGTCACAAAACTTAATTATACGTAAATAATTGTATGCGTGTTATTATATATCTGTATCTAAACAACATTTTTTTTTCTTTTTCAATTTCATAGTTGTACTTGTTTGAGCGCGCATTGTATAACGAAATTTAGCAGTATGTTATCCCACAGAAGATATTATGTGTGTTTTCAATACACATAATGTTTTTTCATGATGCACGTGCGGTAACATCAAAGAAGTACAACTTCTGACGTTCGTGTCACAAAAAAAAATAGATTAATTTTATTTCTTTTATGATTTAATTATTATAATTATTTATTTAGTGTACTAATTATTTTTAACATTAAGTAATTGATGAATAGTGTACATTAAGATTTAAAAAAAATTCACAAATATAGTTTTTACCTGAATTAATCGAAGGTATCTCGAAGGAGACATGAGACAATAGAAATAGTTGACACCATTTTATCTGTAGTGTTGTTTCTTTTTCCGAGTATAAAAATCGTATCATTAGAAGATATGATAGTTTTATCTGAAAGATTAAAAAATATTATTTTCACAAACACTGACCTTAATCGATTAATAGTTATTTACATTTATCATAATATATTATCGAATGACTTTGTTTTCGATCCGAAGACTTTTGTTGTTTACAACAAAGAGATTTTTAATTCTGTATTGATTTAGCCATGACATTTTTTTTTTAATTTTAAAATAACGTTATTTAAATTGACTTTTTAATTCTAATTGTATCGATCAAAAGAGAATGTGATTAGTATTCGACACTCGGTTTTCAGTTCGGGTGTGATATGTTACTGTCCCTTAGAATTAATAAAAAAATAATTATAATGATTTGTGTGACCTTTCTTCTCCAGTTAATTTTTCGATTAAGGTGAAAAGTAAATTAATCGATACGTAATTAATTATTTTCATGAACAAAACACCGATGTTGACTTGACGTACCCTCGTAGTTTTTAAGAACTCCACTGGTGAATGTAATTAATGTAAATCTTAATGAATATAACGTTACTTAATTATAATTAAAATTTAATTAGGCCACGCGAGACACTGCGCAAATGTTTACGATAAATACGCATTGTCTATATAAAATATATATTTTTTGTGCTTCTTTATTATTTAAATTATACTTAATAGTGTCCTGTTAAGAAAAAAATGATGTTGTATTTATTGTTCGTTTTGTGCTTTGTCTGCTTTGAATAATGATGTTATGTATTAAAATTTTATTTACTGAATATTAAATATAAATTAAATTTTTGTATGTAATAACGAAAGTAAATCGTTCAGATAGCATGAGTGTAACGATCGAAATATGTAATTTTATAATGTTGTTAAAACCGAATTTCTTTAACAAATTTGTATCCATTATCAATTAAGAATATTAATCATTTTATTTACGATATTGTTTTTCATTTCGTTACAAATCCTAACTTTTATATGGGACTTTGGTGTTTCGTGTGAAACTCTTCTCCTAAAAATGAATAGTATTTTTTAATTTTTTTTAATTGCTTAGATGGGTGGACGAGCTCACAGCCCACCCGGTGTTAAGTGGTTACTGGAGCCCATGGACATCTACAACGTAAATGCGCCACCCACGTTGAGATATAAGTTCTAAGGTCTCAGTATAGTTACAACGGATTAGTCTAACAGTTTTGACTGCCACTTGCCTAATTTAGAAGCAGTGGTGGCCTAAGAGGCGGTGATGTAACTGAACCGAACTATCCTTGGATGGGTAGCAGTTTTGTTTTTTTTGTAATAATTTCAGTGTGCTTATTGCGAGCTTTTTCGATCGCGTAAAAGTTAAACTCAAATTTGTATGGAGTTAAAATAGTGCTCCTATCGACAAACGAAGAGAAGCTGTCCCGACTCCATACGAATATGAGTTAACTTTTACGCGATCGAGAAGTTAAAAGGCTCGCACTAAGGACAGTGAACATTTTTATTCACGAAACATTCTCACGATAAACAACAAAGCCGTGAAGCGTCTGGGCGTGATCGCGCCTGTTGTACTCGTATTGAGCGATCCGACTACGCCTTTGTTCAAGTCGCGTAGGCGATTTTATTAAGTAAGTACTTTAAAATATTATACTCTCGAACGGCGTCTGCGATAAAAATAAAACTACCGTTACGATAACTTTTTTATTCAAACCTATGCTGATAACCTTGCGAGGCTATTTCAGCTTCACCCTAACGTTTGTAGGTGAGCTTGCGGGGCTCAACCGGAGAGTTGCTAACACTGACCCTAGCAAGAGCAGTGCTTCGCAAAATCTACTACCGGATCGGAACCGCGACCCACTGAGAAGATCCGGCGAGAAACTCAGTGAGCTATGTCTATGGGTTAGTTCGCTCGTCGGGCCCTTCGTCGCAAGCGACGGGCTCGACGAGGACTGTGACCGGTGCTTGTGGTGCCTAAAAGCACCGTTAATGGATCAGGAAGATCCGTAATAACGTGCTTTGGGCGACGTCGACTGTTTACCAGTCGGTCTACTGGGTCGGGTATGTAGTTTCCAGCGGCTACGATGAGAGGGTTCTCATGTCGTTACGATATCCGTAAAGTATTCGAACGAAACCTTGGAATTAATTAATGACAATAAAAATAAATATTGGCAGTCATAGGGACATCCGATAGAAGTGAAAACTCGTAACTTAGAGTTATTGTATTAAAACTTTTGTAATTTCATTCTATTTAAATTACAATTATCAACATTAATCTGATTTTCGCATCAATTGATACTTCGAGCAACAATTTCATTATAGACATGTTCATATTATGGTCTATTTATTATTCAAATACATTACGGGCTGTATTAGATCATGACAAAATATAAATACAATTTAATTGAAATAACAATTAATATTCAAGTACTTTTTACAAAACCTTTTTAATTTTACTTGTAAAGATATAAATAGTCCTAATGTTGCACTTGTATTTAGCTACAGATTTATTGCTATTATGCATCTCGGTGACACGAACTCACAAGATTTCACCCATCTGAAAAGCGCTAATGCGCAGAGCATACGGTTTTTTTTTTTTTTTTTTTTGGTCAGGAGGAAATCGCCGGACTTCCGCCCTTTTCTGGGGATACTGGGCGGGGTATGTCAGAGTCGAACTGACTAAAACCTCCTGTCGCTCAACAACCAACGTCCAAACCTCGCATGAGACAGAACTCATGACAAGGCAAAGGGGGGAAAGTGAAGCGTTTAGTGCGGAGCACATCTCTCCCATCACCCTCCCCCTCGGGACGCCGGACTGGCGGTCGTCGGCGCCACGACCACCAGCCCTCTCGGTCGGCAGACTGTCCGAAGCCCGCCTAGATGGCGCCGGTTAGAGTGGGTTACCCTACGGAATACCCCGCTGGGCCAGAACCAGCGTGGGTCGAGGATAGCCGGCCTTCCATCACCCGGATGCTCTTGCGTAAAACGCGTGCAGAGCAGCTTGCACGTCGTCTTCTTAG